AAAGGATAGGGTTTAATTTGTAAGATAATAGTGTGAATTATGAATAATATAGGACTATGTGGCTAGGATAGATAGTCACAGTAGGATGTATGGTAAGGCCTTCTTTTCTATTGAGAGAAGTAGGATTAAGCATTATATGAATCGCTTCTGCTAGTCTCCTTTCTTTGTAATTAGAAAAAACCTTTTTGTAATATTTTGATATTTCAACTAACGATTTTTAAATAGAACAAACCGCATGTACTGGATCACACTGATGGCCATAATACATTTGTTCTACATGAAACGTAAGGCGAAATTCCTATGTCAAGACAGTTCGCACAGGAATCCAATATACCAACAAAGTCATCAAAATATAGTTACGAATATCATTGACTTGTTAAGTGAAATCTTTTCTAATAGTAATGGATGTTCATTGCTGAGGAGTCCCATACTAGAACGAAACGTCCATCCAGTGCTTTCAGGTTTTCAATGGTGATCTAGCTTCAATTGACTCATGAGTTCAACTATTAAATAAAAAATATTTCTCTGAATAGTTATGTATTGATCATAGATAAAATCCAAAGTTAGTTTCTATCAATTTAACAATATTCAAGGAGTATTGAAATTCTGTCGTATGTTCGGTTCAGGACTGTGGTAACCTCCAAAAACATAAAGAAATAATTCCATACTTTGTGGAACTGCTTAAAATAGTGTGAGACGAATTGTGAGTCATTATCAGTAACCATGTTCTATGACAGTTAAATTGGTTAGCTTAATTATTTTTATTTCAACTGTCTAAATCAGTATTTCTGGCTACTTTACCAAATCATCCTTGATGACTGGATGAATTTTTTCTTTGTACCGGATTAGCACAGACTACGTGAATTCTTTGATAAGGATTTTCGACCACAGGTTACAGTTGTGTTGAATTCTTCAGTAGATGTTCAGCAGTTTGAAAAAAAGAGTTATGTCATTCTTCTTCAATATTGTGAGCAGTTGGGAACGAATAAATTTATCTTCAAGTCAGACATATAATTATATTTGTTCCAGTATAATCACTGTGAAATTACTTAAGAACATATTGATAAGACGTTGCATCGAATGAGTTCCACGTATGACACAGATTTAGTTACTGTTTTATTCTATGAGTTTCATTAGATTGATCTGAGTACATTTCATGGATTAAAAAGCATGGAGCGCCCAGGAGAGGACTTAACTATCTTGATGGAAGACCTAGACGCCAAAGTCAGGATGGATAACACCGGGTATGACGATATCATGGAACGACATATACTACCAGAAAGGAATAAGAATGGTGAATGACTTGCAAATTTGTGTGTCTTCAACGAAATGATTACAGACGACACTATATTCCCATAAAAATGTATATACATAGTTATATGAGTCTCACCAGATCACACCAAGGAGAACCAGACCGACCATATTTGCATCACCAACAAAATCAGAAGGTCAATGGAAGACTTGGGAACCAGGAGTAGGGTTGATATAGCTTTAGATCACCACCTGTCGGTTTTCGGGATAAAAATGAACCTAAAGAAGAATCAGGCACCTGGACAGACAGCATTAAAAGGGTTCAAAAGAGCCTTTCTTGGAAATACTGGCAAACTCAACAAATTCAAGTTAACTCTCAACAACAGGTTCCAAGCCTTACAAGATCTACTTGAAGAAAAGGAAACTAATAAAGAGGACGACAGGAAAGGAGTCAGAGAAGCTTTAACGTTCTATTCAGGGAGATTTGAGGAGAAGAACAAGTGCCGACAGAGCGTTGCTGAATCAAAAAAGAGGTTCAATAGACGCCTAACTTCGAAATAAACAGGCTGGATTCCGTAAGGGTCAGTCATGCACAGACCAAATCGCGAAGCTACGGATCTTCGTTGAAAAAAATGATGGACAACTTGGGTGCAGTTAGACGATTTGAACTTCGCAGATGACCTGACCCTTCTATCCCATACATATAAACAAATACTGGTCAAGACAACCAGTGTAGTAGCAGCCTCTGCATCAGGAAAAAGCAAGACCCTCTAATACAACTCAGAGAGCACTAACGCAATTACAACTGGTGAAGAAACTCTAGAAGAGGTGGACACTTTCACGTACCTGGGTGGCATCATTGATAAACAAGGAGGATCGGATGTACACGTGAGGGAAAGGATTGGCAAAGTAAGGACGGAATTCCTACAGTTACAAAACATTTAGAACTCCGAAGAACTGTCTGTCAACCAAAATCAAATTTACAATCTTCAATACAAGCGTCAAGACAGTTCTACTGTACGGAACTGAAACTTGGATAACTAGTATAACTATCATCAGAAAAGTACAAGTATTTATGAATAATTGTGTATGTAAGATACTCAATGTTCCTTGACTGGATACCATTAGCAACAACGAACTGTGGGAGAAAACAAATCAACTTTCAGTTAATGAGGAAGTTAGGAAAAAACGCTGGAGGTGGATACATAACGCACAGCAGACATCATCAAACTAGATTACAAAGCAAGTCCTAAATTGAAATTCTGAAGGTAAGAGGAAAAATGTTGATCAGAGAACACATCGCTCCGAGAATTGAAAGCACACAACAAGAAGATCAATAGTTATTGGAAACAACTGGAAAAGATTGTCCAAGACAGAGTTCGTTGGAAAATCGTGGTTGGCAGCCTATGCTCCTCCACAAGAATTAACAGGCTCAAATAAGTAATTAAGCTTGGTAAAATATATGTTATCAGCTCTTGAAGGTAAGCAGAAAACATTCCATTGACTGGGTAAAACATACAGGAGTTTTGAGTAAAGAGTTAACTGTATTAATAAAATAATTTTGAAGTGATCAATAGGTCATAAACTTTTTAGTCACTTTCCTTTTATCAACTATTTTCTATAATCTGCCTAGACATACTCAGTCTTTAAATTCATTTGCTGTTGTTTCTTTGAATCTTCTCATTTGTGTTTAGGACTGCAATTGATCAGTCTGATGTTGGCATATGTGCATACTGTACCGGTTGCCTCGATATAGCCTTAAGTCACAAGCATTATAAGCAAAATGGATAGTGGTGGAATAGAAGTGGAATCCAGTTTGATGAGCATTTCGTCTTATTTGGGACTCGTCAACTGGATGTACTTGCATCTTATAGTTGATATTTACTCTAGGACTCAAACCCAGTACCATTCATTTCAAACGCCATCGCATTATCCACTTAGCTATTAAGTTCTGAGAATCACTTTCTTGTGAAATGTGGTAAACATTAACTCTGAGATGTAGGTACATCCAACTGACAAGTCTCAAATAGGACGAAATGCACGTTAAACTGGATTCCACTGCTATTCCATCACTATCCACCCTTGCTTATACTCAGTCTTTCACTCAATATATACTTGTACATATAAACTGGGTAAAAGAAAGTTTGAAATATATTGTAAGTTAATAATAATAAGTTCCACAGATTGAAATCATGAGTCAGTTGAAGCATTGGACAGCCGTTTCGTCCTAGTATGGGACTCCTCAGCAATGCACATCCACGGCCATCCAGTGCTTCCAGGTTTTCCATGGTGATCTAGCTTCAATTGACTCATGATTTCAATCTGTGTAATTTCTAAAATCTTCACAAACCCCTTCTGATAATAATAATAAGTGTATATTTTTGTTTACTGATGCGGTTGTCTGAATTGTTCGTTCATTCAACAAATTGTTTAGCTGGTTACGTAAATATCTATCATTACCATTTTTCATCTATAGCATTCTGGATATTATTTACGAAGATGTCAGATATGTGTATATTGACTACCTTTTACAATTGTATATAAATGTATAGTTTACATTCTAATGAATGAATCAATTAAAAAGTGCCCATCATCAATGAAATGATTGGATAAATAATGGATAAGTGTGTGCTTGTATAGGGATAATAAAAACACATAGACAGGCCATACAGATAGGATTCTTATAGTCTGATGTAAAACCCAATATTTTAATGTGTAACTTCATGTCCTCTTCTTGAGACAATCATATATTTGGTTATAGAAGCAAAAATACCAATCACCATGACATTAAATAACATGGGATAAGAGGTTTTCTCTGTGTGTGTGTGTGTGTATGTGTCACTATTATGTGCTATAGTAGGGATAGAAATCTTCAGTGAACAAGCAATACACTGAATAGAAAAAAAAATAAAGCAGCACTATTTGAAATTTACAATATTAGTCATTTCTGTATAAAGTGTCTCGTATAACAGACTGTTTTTCGATTTCATTTATCAAATGATAGTAAATGAACATTGATTCGGATTTTTTGAAAGAATACGAAGCAAAATCCTTATTTGCTCTCTCTCCCTGGCGCGCACACACTCACTCACTCACTCGTTCGTTCGCTCGCTCGCTTGCTCGCTCGATCGCTTCCTCAATCATTCAGTGTTATACGAGTCAAAGTCCCTATTTCATTGGGTGTTTTTTTGGTCATTGAGGAGTTATACAGTACAAAATGAAAATACTGCACTATTCAATTAGTAAAGTAAAATTATTTAAATAAACACTGAGTTACATTGACGAGAGAAAAATAAACAACAACTTAATACATTTACTGGGAGGGGGGGGAGGACACACATTTGGGCAGCTATTTAACAATTAACACTATTATATAACACTATTATTCATCAAGGTCAAATCATAAAGCAAAACAATGTCCTTCTTCCATATGTTTACATTTCTTTATATACTAATCGTTTTCTAATGTGTTCACTTTCGACATGATCTTTTTCAATCCATTGAATTCATTGAATAAACTACATTGATATATGTATCAATGATTTGAATGTTTAAAATATTATCATAACTGATATTATTACTCTTATTACGAAGACGACGACAACGACAACAACGCTGACGATAGTTGATAATCATATAGACCATGTCATCTGAAAGTGGATTATTTCGACGTTCATCATTGCCTTCACAAATACAACAACAACCAGCAGCAGCAACAACAACCACAACCCCATTATCAGTCTCAATCCATGTCAACATTTAGTTCTGATACTTCAGGATTATTAACATCAACTAATAATAAGACTAAGAAAGAATGTTTTAATTTCGAACCACAACAATGGCGTAAATCTGTTTGTAAAAATTGTTTTCGTACACAACCTGAACATCATAAGTTAATTAGTAATAATTTAAAGGATGAAATGAATTCAACTTTGAAATCTCAATTATCATTTGATAGTAATGTGAATATTAATAATAGTAATAATAATAATAATAGTAATATTAGTGGAGTTGGTTGTGCTGTTGTGTCTGATAATACTACTAATACTTCTATTAGTAGTAGTACAACTAATACTACTACTACTTCTACTACCGTTAATAGTAGTTGTGACACTAAGTCACGTGATTCATCAATTAGTAAAAATAACAATGGATTATTTGGTAGTAATGCAGCGGCTAGAGCTGCTGCAAGAAAAATTGCAGTTGGACAAAGGTTTGTGTATTTTGTTCTCTTATTTCAAGTTGGTATCCTGTTGTGTTTTTTTCTATTGAATGAAATCAATATTTTGTTATGGAATAAACTTTATTGATTATGTTTATGATATGGATATAGGTAATTATAGTGTACATTCAAGAGATTGTCCACAGCTTACTTTCTACATACAGTTCTGACTATATATCGATCTAGTGTTTTGATGATTAGTTATCTCTCAGTCAAGAAATGGGTGTACCATACAACAATTCACTTTCTATTCTTCTTTTGTTGTCACCGACCGACTTGATTTGTAATGTTAATTTGCAAAACAGTTCGTTAGGAAATACATCCATAATATCAGTGAACGAAATCAATAACTGTTGTTATGAGCCATATCAATATATGGAAACTACTCAGTTAAGTGTTAGCATTAACGTTTTCTACTTTTACCTCACTCTTCCATTTTTACTGTACCTGATATATTTAGATTTCCGTTTGATTGCTTACATTTCATTGATGCTTATTATATTGATATCCACTTACGGTATACTGCTCTGGGATGTGACTACTTAGATTGATATACATCTATGCCAGGTTTTATGTTGGTGATGATCAGATGGCTTACTATTTCTAAACCTTTGAATATTCCAATATGCAATTCTAATATCCTTTCTACACTAAAACCCAACCTTGTGAAGTGAAATTTGTTGTAAATCCATTGATTAGGTAATAGCTAGTGGTAGTCGACCAATCATTCATCCTTAACCATTCCTCATTATTTTCATGTTGATTTCTGTCCTCTTTATACTGTGTTCCGCAACTATTTTTCATTATGTAGTTAAATATCATTCACTCAACCTTTTTACATTAAGAGACTTAGGAATCATCATGATATCGGTTATGTGGCTTTGTAGGGAGTGTTGAATTCTATAGTTTACATCATAAACTAGTTTTCACTAGACAACCATTAGAGACGAAAAACCACTAGACAGCTGTTTCAAACTACTATGACACTTCTCATCTATGCACATCTATAACCTCAATGGAGATTGAATCCAGGAATATTTAGGCCTGTCACTGAGAGCTTAATCTTTGAACCAATGAATCAGCATCTAATTTGTTTATATGCCTAACTTCGATCAGATAGTGATATTACTTGATCATCATTTATTCCCAGATTTTCAATAGTTATCTAATGAAGGTCATTTCGTGATGTTTTGATCAGAATTTTATTTGTTTAATCATTAAAACATCTACTTTTGTCAACTAAAATGGATTCTTGTGGATATTATAGTAACTTTTAATAGTTGAAATCATGAGTTAATTGAAACTTCTGAAGAGTCCCACACTAGGACAAAACCACCATTCAGTGCCCCCAGGTTTTCCATGATGATCTAGCTTGAATAAACTCATGATCTCAACTATTGAAATTAAAAGGGATTTGATATTTTTTTAAAAAGAATACTGCAGTTTTATTTAAAAATATGTTGCAGTATTTTAGAAAGAATACTTGAATAAACATTGTCTTTTAGCAAAGATGGATAGTGGATAACAGAGGAATCCAGTTAGATGCGCGTTTCGTCCTGTTTAGGATACGTCAGCTGGTTATGCCTGCATTTAAGAATCGATGTTTACTCCCGGACTCTAACCCCAGAACCGTTCGCTTTAAATGCCATCGCGTTATCCACTTAACTTAGGCGGCTATCAGGACTCTAAGTGGATAACTCAATGGCGTTTGAAGCGGACGGTATTGGGTTCGAGTCCCAGAGTGAACATAGATTCTGTAATGCAGGTACATCCAGCTGTCAAGTCCCAAATAGAAAGAGACGCGCGTCAAAGTGGATTCCACTGCTATTCCACTACTATCCATTTTTTGCTTAAAGCCTCCTATTGTTTTGAAGGATTATGAGAATTAATTTCGTTTGATTAAAATACCTTTATTGTCAACATATACCTTGGTTGTATCCATAAAAAATGTCCTAGACTTCAGTATGATCGAAAATTTCACATACCAATTCAAGTTTCAGGTAGTTTATTATTCTGTTCTAAGACAATATCAAGTATGACATTATCCCCCATTTTCTTTCCCCCCCTTTCTCTCCCTTTCTATATTGCATATAAGTAGTTCTAACCAAAGATCATAAAATTTCACAGCGAGAAAGATACAACTAATTCAATAACCTTTAGTTTATATCTCCATTTTCAGTCAGCTTGTGGTAATAGCAACCTATATCACTGTTAAGTCAGTGCCCTACGTTTGACTTGGATATAAAAGTCTGTATATAACAAAATATTCGGAGTTGGAAATGTAAACCATGGGTTACTGACTAACAGAGCTATGGATATATTTTAGTAAAGGTTCATTGTAGATTGCTTAAAAGTTATTGAAAGAACCACATAGTTATCATTTTGGTGAAGTAGCGATAACTGAGAATTTAGACGGAAGACTAGGTGATCTTGATAGATGTTAATAAAAACTGGTGTACACAAGTACACTAGTAACTATGGCGTACTTACTCCATGGTTAAAGCGTCATACTTGCAGACATTAAGTGACAAGTTCAAATAATACCTCACCTACATCAAGCATAGAAGCCGGGTATTATCCTTAGCCTTAACGATTATACAAATTTGTACTTGGTACATGAATTAATAATACCGGAAACACGTTCATCTACATTAATAGATTAGCTATGACCACCAAAAAGAATGCAGTATAGACATTTGGTTAATGTAAATACTTAATGAGGAGACTGTGGAACAGATTAGAGAACTATTTATAAACATGCAGAAATGCTTCATACCATCAGTAGTGTAGTGAACGAGAACACAATTGAGAACAATCGAATGTATTTGAATACAAAATTACAGAACATCTTAGTAAAATCTGAGAGCTATACAGTAAATACTTCATTTGCAAAATGTCAACCAACGGTCTCAAAGTTCACTGTTTCTTCATTTCCACGGCAATCGTTCTCTATTCTTTGATCTTCTTAACCTTCTGCCACCAGGTGTTTCACTTTCGATTGATGATACATACTACTCATATTTGTCGACATCAGTAGCACACACCACAGTAGCATGAGTTTACGTCAATGAGTATTTTAAAACGATGTAGTTCAGCCCGAAATGAGAGGAATCACTAACGAATCTACGTAGGTTAATATTCTGTAAGACTGTTGTAAAGACTGTAGTTCCTGTCTCTTGATTTTTAAATGCTAATATGAAATGATCGTTCAGTACGTAGTAATTGTTGTCGTATTACTTAATCTTTTTACTTCTTATCTTATTTAGACTTAATCATCAGATTAAATGACTCGACAACACGTTGAGAACTAACAAAAAAACGGGTACTTGGAATCCTGACAGAGTTAATATCCATAATGAAAACAAAACACATGTTACCTAGCTTCACTGTCAATGATTACTTGTAGACAAAATAGATTAGTTGTAATGAATCTCACTGAAACAATTTGCTTACATCAATTCGAGCATTATGTGAACGATCATTTTCTGGAGATTTACAAATATCCTTCTCTAACTGATCCGTAGGCGCCAAGATAGAATGTGGTTTCAAGGATAAACGTTAATGTTTTCCAATCACTAGGAGCCAAATAAACCTACTAAATAACTAGATTCTTATCATCTATTCAAGATCAAAAATTTACTCTGGAACAGCACAGTTTTATGCTGTAAATACCTAGACGGCTGTTCGTAGTAGTAGTAGTAGTAGTAGTAGTAGTAGTAGTAGTAGTAGTAGTAGTAGTAGTAGTAGTAGTAGTAGTAGTAGTAGTAGTAGTAGTAGTAGTAGTAGTAGTAGTAGTAGTAGTAGTAGTAGTAGTAGTAGTAGTAGTAGTAGTAGTAGTAGTAGTAGTAGTAGTAGTAGTAGTAGTAGTAGTAGTAGTAGTAGTAGTAGTAGTAGTAGTAGTAGTAGTAGTAGTAGTAGTAGTAGTAGTAGTAGTAGTAGTAGTAGTAGTAGTAGTAGTAGTAGTAGTAGTAGTAGTAGTAGTAGTAGTAGTAGTAGTAGTAGTAGTAGTAGTAGTAGTAGTAGTAGTAGTAGTAGTAGTAGTAGTAGTAGTAGTAGTAGTAGTAGTAGTAGTAGTAGTAGTAGTAGTAGTAGTAGTAGTAGTAGTAGTAGTAGTAGTAGTAGTAGTAGTAGTAGTAGTGTAGTAGTAGTAGTAGTAGTAGTAGTAGTAGTAGTAGTAGTAGTAGTAGTAGTAGTAGTAGTAGTAGTAGTAGTAGTAGTAGTAGTCGTAGTAGTAGTAGTAGTAGTAGTAGTAGTAGTAGTAGTAGTAGTAGTAGTAGTAGTAGTAGTAGTAGTAGTAGTAGTAGTAGTAGTAGTAGTAGTAGTAGTAGTAGTAGTAGTAGTAGTAGTAGTAGTAGTAGTAGTAGTAGTAGTAGTAGTAGTAGTAGTAGTAGTAGTAGTAGTAGTAGTAGTAGTAGTAGTAGTAGTAGTAGTAGTAGTAGTAGTAGTAGTAGTAGTAGTAGTAGTAGTAGTAGTAGTAGTAGTAGTAGTAGTAGTAGTAGTAGTAGTAGTAGTAGTAGTAGTAGTAGTAGTCGTAGTAGTCGTAGTAGTAGTAGTAGTAGTAGTAGTAGTAGTAGTAGTAGTAGTAGTAGTAGTAGTAGTAGTAGTAGTAGTAGTAGTAGTAGTAGTAGTAGTAGTAGTAGTAGTAGTAGTAGTAGTAGTAGTAGTAGTAGTAGTAGTAGTAGTAGTAGTAGTAGTAGTAGTAGTAGTAGTAGTAGTAGTAGTAGTAGTAGTAGTAGTAGTAGTAGTAGTAGTAGTAGTAGTAGTAGTAGTAGTAGTAGTAGTAGTAGTAGTAGTAGTAGTAGTAGTAGTAGTAGTAATGAATGTTTACGGATTCTTTCCAAAAATATACCCAATCCACTATATCTGTTTCAGTTTGACAACATAGAATGAAGAGACTAACAATCCAATTAGTATGAACACATATAAGATACACTACTGAGTGGAATTAGACAATTAGAATATGCACGAAACTCAACTGTCAATAAGGCGACATTGTAGTAATAAAAAATGTATAACAATCATAAAGGCAACCTGTCCAATCAAACATTTTCAGTTTTTTAAAACAATCCTCATACAATTAGACATCAGTAAGACAACCTGTTGTGAGGAAATCTTGATAAGAATGCATGCAATCAATCAAACAGACTTTCCATTGTAAAATAATTCGGAATCTATACTGAATCATTCTGATAGATTTTTGTTACTATAAATAAAACGTTTCGAAACTATATAGTATTATTATCAGAAAGGGGGTTTTGTGAAGATTGTAGTAATTTAAGAGTTGAGTTTATGAGTCGATGTAAGGTAGACCACTACGGAAAACCTGAAGGCACTGGACGGCCTCAGCAGTGCGCATCCGCGATCCCACACTCGGGATCCAAACCGAGAATCTTCGGTTTCGTACGTGAACGCTTAACCACTAGACCACTGAATCGATATTCAGCGGTGTTAATTTCTAACTTCAACCAATCCACGATGTTGCACCACAGTTCACCATTATCTTCAGTGAGTAACTGTCTCACAACAGACACGGCTGAACTCCACTAGTCACGACTTCTCACTGGAACTCCAAGAAATACATCTTGAAACCAGTCACTAATAAGCACATGATGATTTGTGGAGATTGTAATTATTTAATAGTTGAACTATTGAGGAGTCCCATACTGGGACAAGATGTCCAACCAGTGCTTTCAGATTTCCTATGGTAGTCTAGCTTTAATCGACTCATGAATTCAACTACTAAATTAGGTCGTATTATTCATCACTTTCATACTTTTGATAGTACCCCGACTAAGATTAATCTGTGATGAACATCATCTAATAAATATTTAATTAATTTCAGAAGGTGTTTTGTGGATATTATAGTAATTTTAATAGTTAAGATCATGAGCTGATTGAAGCTAAACCACCATAGAAAACCTGGAAGTACTGGAAGGCCGTTTCGTCCAACTAGGGGACTCCTCAGCAGTGCGCATTATCAGTGGAAGTGAAAAAAATATAGTTTCACTTCAATAGCGCTCCTACAACAAGAATGATTATATTCAAGGAATAAACTTAGTAAAGTTTTGAATAAATTTCGCTTTCACAAGAGATCGTGTATGAAATCGTGGAAGCACATATAAAATTTAAAAAGTTGATCACTTATTTCATTTTATGTTCATAGTTTACGTCAGACACTGAAATTAATTAAACAACCATTGAAAAGAAAGACGTATTAGACAGATTTTCATTCTAATATAGGACACCCTACCTGTGATCATCCATGACCCCACTGGAGATTGAACACTGCACCTTTCAGTTATGACATTGAGCGCTTAGTCTTCAGGTTGTTGAGTAGACATCCAATGTTTAGTACTCTCTGATGTTTAACAGCTTTTTGATAACGACGACAATCCATAATGATCGTATACTTAAAAGTGAACAATTTATACAAATTCCCCGTTTTCTTGTTACTTAAACAGATTACTAAAATAATGTCATCTTTGTGAGTTCCAATTTACCTACCTCGCTGTAATCAACCTTCACATATAAAGTTATTACAATCTCCACAAAACACCTCTCTGATTATAATCATCATATGCACCCTAGTGACTGTCTCCAAGAGTTATTTACTGGAGTTCTAATGAGAAGCAGTGACCAATGGAGTTCAGCCTGTTCTGTTGTGAGATATTAACTTACTGAAGTCAGCGATGAACGGTGGCTCAAATTTCGTGGATTAAGTGAAGTTAGACATTAACACCATGAATACCGATTGAATGGTCTTGTGGTTAGACGTTCTCACGCGAGATCGATAGGTCCTAGGTTCGAATCTCGTGAAGCAGGATCGTGGATTCGCACTGCCACGGAACAGCCCCACACTGGGATGAAATGGCCATCCAATGCTTCCAAGTTTTCCATACTGGTCTAGCTTCAATTGACTTATGAATTCAATCAATAAATTATAGAATTATAGTTTAAAACTAAGTACAATAAGTACTTCTAAATTAGTTTATTACCATATTTTTTCTTTCATTTATTACAGATATTCCGATTCAGATGTTCGTAATCATGAATTAAGAAAATCCACTAATCTTGCGAATACAACAATTGGACAATCACAACAGCAACCACAACAACAACAATCCACAATTGGTATTAGTCATTCATCAGCATCAAGTATTGATGCAAGATATGTGGAAGAATTAGAAAATGATTTTTTTGCATTAGAAGATAAACATGAATTATTATTAAGAGAACGTGATGAATTAAATATAGAATTAGAAGGGAAAATTCGTACCATTAGTGAATTACAAGCTACATTAGATCAATATCGTGAAAAAGTTTCATAACTTGAAAGACGTTGTGGACATTTAGAAGAAGAAGTGAAAAGTTATCGGTAAGTTATTATTGAAAGTTGATATCTTTTTATTGATAATTGAAGTTAGATTATATATCCAGTAGTGGATGAACGGTGAGATAACCTTTGAGCAATGTTAACATGCCTATCTACTTACGAGGGTTAAATGAGGGTTATAAATTAGTGTAAGGAACTAGGATTTGGATTTACAGTTGAACATTAGAGTTAGTGTTTTCATCATGAATTGACATAAGCAATAATGGTATTTAGCCAAATGAGTGGATGACTCTTGCGCCAAATTCTAAGACCTGCTATCTTAAATCTGATTGGTTCATCCATAAATTATAGTCTTATTGGATGAGCATATGTTGAAATGATTCGATATGTTGTAAAAGTTAATCTTTTATGGTAAGAAAATATACGTAAGTCGCTAGGTAATGGTGTAACAAGTTAGACAGAGAATATGTTTAGTTGACATAGTATGTCTTCTGTGAGACAGTTTATCTTCATCCATACACTCATTTTATTTACTCTTGTGTCATATTAGTTAACATAGAAAACAGTCATACACAATATCTGTTCAATGAATCAGTGATTCTTGGTTTGATTCGTTAAAACGAAGAAGATGATTTGGTTTATTTACATGGAATAATAGTAATATTTAAGTAACATTGTTTAAAGTAGGTTAGAACAGCTCATATGCGTTCATTCTGTATATTTACTTTTTTATCAAGATCTAGAGATTCTGGATTCGACATCCTGTAGAGTCTTCGATGTACTGTGATGAGAAATCTTAAAGTAAATGAAAAGCAACTATTTAATGCTTCCTGATTTTCAATGATTTGTTTAACTAAGGTGAAGTCTACTATAAAAAGCTGACTGATTTCCGCTATTGAAATTACTAAAATCTTCACAAAATCATCTGCTCCCCAGTGACAGACTTCAAGAGACACTTCTGGAGTTCTAGTGAGAAGCCGTGACCAGTGGAGTTCAAACAGGTCTGTTGTGAGATATCAGCTCACTGAAGACGATGGTGAAGGTGGCGGTTGAAGTTAGACATTAACACCGTTGGATGCCGGCTCAGTGATAGCATTTTGCTTCTTCATAAAAGACATCGAAATTCAAATCTTTCAGAGAATTGGAACCGAATCTTTTAAATTAAAAAAAATAAAGTTAGTCCATACGTGGATTACAGTACGACCATAATACAATTTCTAGTAAATCTCTATGAGGATCTAATTAAAACTGGTCATGTTTTATACACGATCATTTATCAATGATCTGATTCCTTATGATAGGCAACAAAAATAATGTTGTCTAAAACATGATCACTTATTTACTCACTTAGTACTGACTAGTATCATGTTTATCTAGTCCTTTACTGTTAATCAAATTCTATCGGTTAAGTTCAAATGTCATCACTAGTCTAAGTGACTGAATATAACCTAAACATTTCTCACATGTTAGATGATTGGAAACAGTTGTCAAGAAATCCTGAACTCAAGTGTCATGTTATATAGGACTCATCAACAAGGAGTACATGACAACTTATTTCTTACATTGACCTTTTCTTTAGTGAATAAACTTAGAAAGTGGTGACGAAGTCAGTTATTTAAACAATATATCATATCAAATAGTTGATAGTTATCTTGACTAGCCTGTTGTATAACAAATATCTTAACTCTTGACATTTCATGATCATAGCAGACATCATTACTAGGTTTTACTGACGATTTTCAACTAAACTGTATTTTAGATGAATAAATTCAGTCAATCAATCATCACTAAGAAATGTAGTCATAATTAGTGCCCACTTAGTGGGCCAATTAGAAGTATCCAAATGTGAAGGTCACTTGAAAGTAACCAGAAGTGATCTGAAGGACAACTGCACATCATTGGCTAAGTAATAGAAGTGTATGTATATAAATGAGTATTTATGAATATAGTTTTTGTAGCACAATAAACTTTCTCGTTCACTCTTGTCTTCTCACTCAAGTAGTCAGTTTGAGAGAGGGAGTTAATGCGTAGCACGTTGTGTATTAGTATTAGATCTCGGATATCAACGATCATAACATTGCCTTTGAATTTCTCATGTATATTTATTGTTTCTTTTTATAAAATAAAAATAAGATTATAAACATATAAAATCTTTCTATTGAACATTATAGAGAACGTTTAAAACTTCCAGAAAGTGATCAGAATCATTCACCGAATACAATCATTTTGGAACAACATCAACATCAACAACAACAATATTCAATTGGTCCTACTGATATTCATTGTAGTGCAGAACTTCAACAACGTCTTAATGAAGTGGAACAATTATGTCAAGAGGTTATGGAAGAGAATGAACAATTAAAAGAGGATGTTGAAGAAATGCATCGAGAAATTGAAGAGATGCATGATCATTTTCAAGTGATTTTTTCATTGCTATTAAAGATGTTTTTTTGAATTTTTTCTCGCGAGACCGAAGGTCCTAGGTTCGAGTCCCAAGTGTGGGATCATGTTGCACGCTACTGATAAGTCCCATACTAGAATGAAAAGGTCGTCTAATGCTTCCAGGTTTTCAATGGTGGTCTAGTTTAGATCGACTCATGGATTGAATTGTTAAAATACAAATTTAGACATGTGTACAGGATAGTAAAGAAAAGAAGTATCACTTGCGCAATTCTATTCAACATGTCTGCTTGTTATATATCTCAACCAATGATCAAATAAGTCTAGATGGCTATTATTTTGTCCAGAAATGACATCGCATAAAGTTCTTTATAAACTAGGATGATTTCAATGGCAAGCATCTAATTCCTATCTTACTAGGTAGTAGTCGAACCTAATACAAACAAGTTACACGATCAATGCTTAAACATTGGGTTAATATCTAATGGCACATATATTTCTAACTTCAGTAAGCTAGCAATATAAAACAACAATCAACTAGTCCCAAATAGAAAAGGCAACTACATCATTCTTGTTATAACTAAATCTCACTTTCCATGTCGATGATTAATACTAATACTTTGCTAGACTATTTGTTATCATAGACCATCTGAAATAGTTGAATGTTGAATGTCCTTAAAAAAAACATTGACACTTGAAACAACTAATTCTTGTTTCAATAATCCCATCGCACTACAAAAGAAGAAAAACAAAACTCTTATCTTCTTTTAAAATGCATCAATATAATTTTATAGGTAAAACAAGCCAATAATCACAGATATAAATTTAGATACAGTATATGAACATTTAAAAATGAAGGTAAATCGTTCTTAGCCTAGAAATTAGAGGAGTGAATCATTTTATGGTTAACAAACTTATAATACACTAATGAACCTTTCTATAATAGTTTAAGACTTTTATCAACATATAAGTAGTAAATTCACTGGGTATTGTTTATTTGTATCTTCCCATTGATGTGTTAGGATTTCGATTGATCAGTTTCTTGTTGGCATATGTGCATACTGTGTGTGTGTGCGCGCCTCGATATAGCCTTAAATCACAAGCATTATAAGCAAAGATGGATAGTGGTGGAATAGTAATAGAATCAAGTTTGATGCGCGTTTCGTCCTATTTGGCACTCGTCAACTGGATGCATCTGCATCTCAGAGTTAATATTCACTCCCGAACTTGAACCCAGTACCGTTCGCTTTAAACGCTATAGCGTTATCCACTTAGCTACTGAGTCATGATAACTACTTGAGTGTGCAATGGGGTGAAGTTTTAATCTACTTAGTATTGTTTACATGAATCTTCTGGTGCATAAATCCGTCCTTTGGTTGATAGACGGATATCTCGCCTACTTCATTAATGACGCAAGTTGGCAAAAGCTAGTCGTGCTGAGATTTTGTCACACACCAGACCACAAGGGTGGATTAGACTTCCAATATAAGTGAAGCGGTCGACACGCTCAACTACATCAGTCCCTATCATTAGTCCGGTGTCAACGCAACCCTCCTGAAGCAACATTTTGCATTTTGAGGGGAGAATCGCAACCCAAACATCCTTGCATTATTGCTTATAGTGGTGGGTGGTAGAACAAATGCCGACGGACTGTAATGAAGCATACCGCATCAAGGTACAAAAGAAAGATCTGAATAAATGAGGACTACAGAGGAATCACGCTACTATCACTACCAGGAACAGTTTTCAACAGAGGATCGCTAGACTGCATCAAAACTCAGTAAACACTCAACATTGAGATCAACAGGTTGGACTTCATAAGGATCGGTCGTGCACAAACTAATCACATCACTACAGATCATCGTTGAGCAATTAATTGAATGGAACTCGTCACTATACATCAACCTCATTGATTATGAGAACTCATCTGACCGTATAGATAGGAGAACATTATGGAAACTTCTTCAACACTATGGTATGAGAAGCTGAGAAGATCGTCAACATCATACGGAATTGATACGACGAACTACAGTGCAAAGTGATGCATGAAGGATAGTTGATAGACACATTTGAAGTGGAAACCAAAGTCAAACAAGGCTGTCTCCTCCCCCCTTCTCTTTGTTCTATTATTATTATTAGTAGTAGTATTATTAAACGCTCTATTCAATATTATAGTTTGGGCACAATATAAAATTCTCAGCATCCTCAGATATCAAGAGAACCACAGAATATAGTGGACAGCTTGTGTGTGACTAGGTAATGTGGACTCCAGAGACCACTAAGCTCCTCCATCCCATACACGTCAACAAATGCAGGTGAAGACAATCAGTGTAGTAGAAGCCTCTGTATCAGTAGGCTTCAACATAGACAAGGGAAAAATCAAGCTCCTCAAATTCAACACGTAGAACACTATCCCATTCATACTTGGTGGAGAAACTCTGTAAGATTTGGAAAAATTTACGTATCTGGGTAGCATCATCAATCAACAAGGAGGATTCGATGCAGATGTGCGGACAAGGATTGGCGAAGTAAGGGTAGCATTTCTACAGTTGATGAATATATGCAACTCAACACAACTGTCTGCGAACCAATATGGAAGTGAGAATCTTCAATACAAACGTCAACACAGTTCTACTGTATGGAGCTGAAACTTGGCAAACCACTACAATGATCATCGACAATGTACAAGTATTTATGAACAATTTTCTACACAAGGTACTCAATGTCCTTTTGTCGGATACTATCAGTAGCAGTCTAATATTGAAGGGAACAAGCCAGCTTCCAGTTGAGGAGAAAATTAGGAAATGACGCAGGACATCAAAGTATGTCACGTGTCAAGCGTCAACTTGGAATCTTGAAGGGAAACGGAAAAGAGGAAGACCAAAGAACACACTACATCGTGAATTAGAAGCAAACACCAAACGAATGAACTTCATGAATTGGTTGGAGTTAGACATTAACACCGTCGAATGTCGACTCAGTGATCAAGAGGTTAAGCGTTCGTGCGTGAGATCAATAGGTCCTGTGTTCGAATCACACCACAATACAATAGTTTTCATGGTTGAAAATCAATCTTCAACGTATTGATCCACAAGGCAGTGGAGCAACGTCAGGAGATGCAGTCCCGTGGTAGCCGGTGACCAATGATTGGTTCATACGACATTTGTTCCCTCAGGGTCCTGAGTTGCATGTGCACCATTGGCTTGGAATCAGGGTTTTCCAACTCCCCTAGATGGACTCTCCATGTTCACCAACCCGGTTAAAGCGCCGGACATTCGCTTTTCGTCCTCTCAATTTCGTAAACAACAGTGATTCCACGAGAAGGTAGTGAGTAGGGCTTCTATGGCAGAGACTGTATACGCGTGGCCATGTGAGAGCATTTCGAGAGGGAGAGCAGACTTTTCCCACTCTCGGCTATACCAGGGCATTTGGGGGCATAGTTAGACAAATGTTCTAAACCTAGAAACACTAAACACCTAGTACAAAACTTCTCAATAGTTTATACTCAGCATCTCAAATATAAACAAATACAATCTTTGAAATTTAACAAGAAGTGATCATTAACTCAACATTCAAAGGTTAATACATTGTTAATTTAATCAATTCAGCTTATCGTACAGACTGTTACTTAAGTTGTTGGCAAGTGATTATCTTACACTCTCAATGGTTTAAGCGTACAAGTCACAACTTCTCATATAACAACAGTTGAATGAATTTAGTAAATTTCAATAACTTAATTATCAATTTGCATTAAAACGAAAAGAAAACAACCTCATCTCGGACAAATAATTGAAACTCACTGTAAACCTCATGGTATTAGTCACCATAGATCACATATTATTTATCTTAAGTGTCCAGTCAAATAGTTTTTTTGATTTACTTGTAACCAATAGCGCTGATAGTAAATTCCATTTTATAATTATCCATATTTTGTTAATTTCATCTTATTACATTGATACATTGTAACCATGTGACCTGACATACATTTCTACCAGATTCTATTCAAAAATCAATAATTTTTACTTAGTTTCTGTGAAATAAGATTGTTTAAATAATAATTTTTTCTTGAAAATCGTATCTGAAATAACATTTTTTTTTCTTTGCATAGGATTATAAATAGAAGAATATGCTCGCACGTGTTCGAGCGCTAGATCGAAGGTCCTGAGTTCGAATCTCATGTACGAGATCTAGGCTATATCCTGCTGAAGAGTTTCATACCTCGGACAAAATGATCATCCAGTTCTTCCAGATTTTCAATAGTAGTCTGACATTCATTGATTTATGATCACGATTGGAAAGAATTATTTAAAATTTATTTTGATGCTTGAGATTATGAATCAATTAAAGCTAGACCACCATGGAAAACCTAGAAGCACTGGACGACCGTTTCGTCCTATTATGTGCCGCTCAATTTCGTGGATTAGTTGAAATTAGACAATAACGCCATTAGATGCCAGTCAGCTCATTGGTCTAGTGGTTAAGCGCTCGCTCGCGCGTGAGACTGATAGGTCCTGGGTTCGAATCACACAAGCGGGATCATGGATGCGCACTGCCACGGAGGAGTCCCACACTAGGATGAAACGGTCATCTAGTGCTTCCACGTTTTCCATGGTGATCTAGCTTCAATTAACTGATGATCTCAACCATTAAAATTACTACAATCTCCACAAAAAACCCCTTCTGATACTAAAATTTATTTGTTCATTGACCTAGATAAATACATAATCATCAATGACTTTGTTTAAATAGATAACTAGTGATTTCATATATTTATATAGATAAAACAATGTTTCATTTATGTATCTTCAAGGTTCAATATTATTTATGATCAATATGAGTAATAGTTGAATGAATTGGAATAACCTAATTATTCAATGAGTTCATCAATTTGCATCAAAATGAGAAAAAAAAAGGAACAAAACCGGCTTGAAAAAAAATTCATTAGAATAATCAAAACTTATTGTTGATTAAAGCTTTAAAGTATGCAAAACTTCATTTCATTGTGAATAATACAATAGAGTTTAAAGTGAACAGTATTAGGTTCGAATCCCAAA